TTGGGTGTCTACAACTGATTGTGATATTTTGTGGGTACTATTGTTCCCCCTTTTTTTTTTTTTTTTTTTTCTTTGAAAAAAAATTTGGGCCTTTGAAAAAACAAAAAATTTTTGTATCAAAAAAAGGTTGAAGAGTGGGGAACACGGGGGGGGGGTTGGGGGGCCTCCCCCCCCCCCCCCACCCTCCCATTTTTAGTCGAAAATGAGGCCCAAAGGGCAGAAAGAATTTTTTTTAGAGGTCGGGTTCCCCCTTATCTGAAGGTCTGGATCTGCCACTGGTTGAATACATCTAGCTGGTTCACGTGTAACCTGAGAATGTCAATTTACCCAAATGAACTTTATTTATATTGTAGTTGCTCTAACGAGCAGAAGCCGGGCGTAAACCAGTTTTTTTTTAGAAATCAAGAGTGCACTGTATATCCTCCCTTCAATTTTTGTGGGACATAAAGAATTAACAGTATTGTCAAGTGAGGTTGCTTATTTATACTGTAATCTATAGATTCGCATGACCCTTGCAATGATGAAAGATCTGAAAGAGCTGCACAAGCGAATTATTGAACAGCAAGTTAGTAATTGACCCTAATTTATTTAAATTATATTGAAAAAAAAACCCTTAAATTGTACAAATGTGCTTTTAAAAATTAATGCACTGCGTGTGAACTTGCTTATGTGTTGCATGAGCCACTGCAGTTTCTTGCATTAAGACATGGGCCAGTTTAAGATTGTGAAGGCTAATACTATGTTAGTGCTCTTGTTGTAAACATGGCATATTTCAAATTTAAGCCTTGGTTATATTAAACGTTTTTACATGTATGTGATCTATGTTTTAACTGTGGCTCGTCTGAGTGCCATTTGGCAAGTTGAAGCCAAATCCTGCAATCTGATTAGCTACCATTTATTGCTAGAGTGATTTTCATATGACCTTTAAAAATTGTTTCAGTAAGTGTTCGTTATTTGTTTTATCAGCCAGTGGATGAAAAAATCAACTTTGGCCTTTTCATTTCCAGCCAAAGAAAACCCTAATATGGAGAAGGCATTGTTTGATTGGCCAATCGTGTTGTAATATGACCTCAATGCAAAGTATCGCTTGATTTCTAGAAAGTTCTTGGGGATTAAGTTTTTTCACCCAAACGTTCGCTTAACCAACCAAAAGCCACGTGCGTTTGTATCCGTTTGATAAGCCAATCAAATTTCTCTGTTTTGGTTCATTTGTTGTTTCTGTTTTGTTTGTGCGTTTTCATTTCAAGGTCATACGAAAATCGCTGTACCATTTTATCATCAATGTCACTGATTAGATATGTGCATTACAAACTTTCTGCAGAATTACTGTATTTTTCCCTATCTACAGAGTTGGTGTAAATCAATGATGAAATAATCCACCATCATTTTATCCTTTTTAGCATCATGATGCTGACTACATTCTGAGACGACTTTACAAAGAAAACTCATTCCTGTTTGTTGCCATGCCAATACCAGTAAGTACATATATGTAAGTGGTGTATTCATACTTCTCACATTATTTATGACAAGTGTGACTTCACATGTTTGTGTGACATGAGCCTAATATTTGTAACCTATTTTTAGCTTGCATTTGGATCTAAGGAAGCCATTACAAGCCAAGAAGAAGGGCAAAGTTCTGGGTTAATTGATGATGTTAATGATGATGTAGAGGAGAGATTTCGAGCTCTTGAGGTACCTAACTGTTTCTCAGTCTGTTTGTTTACTCACTGCCAATGATACGTGAAAATTTTTTTCAAGCCTATCTATACATCACACATACACTGTATTAAAACTAACTACCGGTATACATTTAGCAAATCAGATAAATATCTTAAAAAATGAAATTATTGCTGTATGAAATTAATGCAAATTTAAAAAATTCCTGTTAATTTCAGTCACATTAATTTTTGTTAATGTTAATTTCCGCACCATTAATTAAATCATAAGTACATACCTTGACTCAACGCCATGTAGTTTTCAGTACCGGATTGGAGCATTGTATGCGCTGTATGCCATCTATTATACACAGCTTAATCAACCAAAAGTTAAGGTAATGCTTGTTTTGGAATAAAAACTGGTACTTCATCTAAACTGTGATGCTTCTTGTCTGATTTCCATGAAACATGTGCCAGGGTTAAAAAAAAAGCAGGCTATATTGTGTTAGTCACAACCAGTGCAGGTACATTGTGGGTAAATCTGTTCTCAGACTTTCGTCTTTTTTTTGTGTGAATAATAATTAGGGCCTTGGAAACAAAAGAAAGTTTTGTGACTCAAACTAGGTCGACAGTGGCGGATCCAGGGGAGGGGCTTGGGGGCCTGCCCCCCCCCCCCCCCTATTTTTAGTCGAAAATGAGGCCCGAAGGGCAGAAAGAATTTTTTTTGAGGTCGGGTGCCCCCTTATCTAAAGGTCTGGATCTGCCACTGGTTGAATACATCTAGCTGGTTCCCAGGAAACCTGAGAAATGTCAATTTACCCAAATGCACTTTATTTATATTGTGGTATGCAATTTTCAAACTTTTTTAAAGGTTCAGTGTCTGAGTGGCTGAAGATGATTGAGTTTTGGCTGTTATGAGCAGAAGCCGGGTTTAGACCAGTGGTTTTTTAGAAATCAAGAGTCCACTGTATATCCTCCCTTTAATATTTGTTAGACATAAAAAATTATAAGTATTGTCAAGTGAGGTTGCTTTAATATTTATTCTTTAATCTATAGATTCGCATGACCCTTGCAATGATGAAAGATCTGAAAGAGCTGCACAAGCGGATTATTGAACAGCAAGTTAGTAACTGACCCTAATTTATTTAAATTATTTTGAAAAAAAATTGTACAAATGTTCTTTTAAAAATTAATGCACTGCTTTTGAACTTGCTTATGTGTTGCATGACCTCTGTGGTTTCTTGCATTAACCTGATAAGTCCCCACATCAACATGCGTCTTCTCCACACTGTTCATCATACATTCCTTATGATACTGCTTGAGAGAATAAAAATTATGTTCTAATATCACAACATTTCATCTTTGGTGATCATTTTATTCATTCTTATGACCTGTATGTTTGATCAGGCAGTGTTATTGTTGGGAGAAATTGAATGTGGGTCACTATTAGGGCTTAAAGCGTAAAGGCATTGGCCAGTTTAAGATTGTGAAGGCTAATACCACATTAGTACTCTTGTTGTAAACATGGCATATTTCAAATTTAAGCCTTGGTTATATTAAACGTTTTTACATGTATGTGATCTATGTTTTAACTGTGGCTTGTCTGAGTGCCAGTTGGCAAGTTGAAGCCAAACCCTGCAATCTGATTAGCTACCAGTTATTGCTAGAGTGATTTTCATATGACCTTTAAAAATGGTTTTGGTAAGTGTTCCTTATTTGTTTTATCATGATCAGCCAGTGGATAAAAAAATCAAAACATGGCCTCTTCGTTTTCCCGCCAAAGAAAACCCTAATATGGAGAAGGCATTGTTTGATTAGCCAATCGTGTTGCAGTATGACATCAAAGCGAAGTATCGTTGATTTCTAGAAAGTTCTTGGACATGAAGTTTTATCACACAAACGTAACCAACCAAAAGCCACATGTGTTTGCATTCGTTTGATAGACCAATCAAATGGCTCTATTTCTGTTCATTTGTTGTTTCTGTTTTGTTTGTGCGTTTTCATTTCAAGATCATACGAAAATTGCTGTACCATTCTATAATCAATGTCACTGATTAGATATTACAGTGAAACCTGTATTAAACGGTCATCATATAAAGCGGATACCCTCTATTAAGCGGACAGTAGCCAAATTCCCAAATTTATTTCCCTTATTTACTTTAAATGAAACCTTTATTAAGTGGACACCTCTATTTAGCGGATGAGGACACCTAAAAAGTACCTGAAATGTTCATTTCTATGTTGCCAACCTGTATTAAACGGACACTTAAATTCCACCACCCAACATGCCAGACACCGGAAATGCGAAAGATTGCCACCCACAAATTTTAATATTTTTACTTTAAAAAATGTGCTTTGACAAACTTATTTGATTAGTTTCACAGTACAGTGTTGTTTTCTATTTCGTTTTGTTGTATAGAGCTTGTGTCACTCATCTGAGTTCTTCAAATTTGAGTTGCAATCTATACTTATGGTACTATCATGAATTAGTCCTCTTTAGTAAAGAAATTAATGCAAACGTATATCGTCATAGTCTCTGGGAGTGTCCTAAACATTTCCACTGTTCATTTGAATGGCATTTGACACCTCATATAACGTTATCTATCGAAACCTGTATTAGGCAGACACCCTGTATTAAGAGGACACTACAGCATTCCCCAAGGGTGTCCGCTTAATACAGGTTTCACTGTATGTGCATTACAAATTTTCTGCAGAGTTACTGTATTTTTTCCCCTGTCTATAGAGTTGATGTGAATCAATGATGAAATAATTCACCATCATTTTATCCTTTTTAGCATCATGATGCTGACTACATTCTGAGACGACTTTACAAAGAAAACTCATTCCTGTTTGTCGCCATGCCAATACCAGTAAGTACATATAAATAAGTGGTGTAATCATACTTCTCACAATATTTATGACAAGTGTGACGTAACATGTTTGTGTGACATAGGCCTAATATTTGAAACCTATTTTTAGCTTGCATTTGGATCTAAGGAAGCCATTACAAGCCAAGAAGAAGGGCAAAGTTCTGGTTTAATTGATGATGTTAATGATGATGTAGAGGAGAGATTTCGAGCTCTTGAGGTACCTAATGTTTTCTCAGTCTGTTTGTTTACTCACTGCCAATGATACATGAAAATTTTTTTCAAGCCTATCTATACATCACACATACACTGTATTAAAACTAACTGTGCATTTAGCAAATCAGATAAATATCTTAAAAAATGAAATTATTGCTGTATGAAATTAATGCAAATTTAAAAAATTCCTGTTAATTTCAGTCACATTAATTTTTGTTAATGTTAATTTCCGCACCATTAATTAATTATGCGACCTTATAATTAATTTCCATCGTTTTGGCCCCAAATTCTTGACACACTTTTGTCATTCTTGTCACAACCCAAGAAAGAGGAGTAGTTTATCAGGGTGGAGATCCCCCAGTATCAGTAAAACTCTGAAAAACCCTCAAAGTGGCCAGATTTCTGGCCCCCTTTATAATTTTAGGGAAAGTACCATAAACAAAGTTTTCATTTCAGTTTATAGATTCAACTGTTTGTTGCTATTGTCTCAACAAGTTTTGTTTCTTTGTGAGTGTCGTGTTAATTTCATTCATTTTTGAATATTTTTTACTGTTACCCTCTTTTTCGCGTTTTAATTTCCTTTATTTGAAAGTTGTTTTCCGTTAAATTGNACTGCCAATGATACATGAAAATTTTTTTCAAGCCTATCTATACATCACACATACACTGTATTAAAACTAACTGTGCATTTAGCAAATCAGATAAATATCTTAAAAAATGAAATTATTGCTGTATGAAATTAATGCAAATTTAAAAAATTCCTGTTAATTTCAGTCACATTAATTTTTGTTAATGTTAATTTCCGCACCATTAATTAATTATGCGACCTTATAATTAATTTCCATCGTTTTGGCCCCAAATTCTTGACACACTTTTGTCATTCTTGTCACAACCCAAGAAAGAGGAGTAGTTTATCAGGGTGGAGATCCCCCAGTATCAGTAAAACTCTGAAAAACCCTCAAAGTGGCCAGATTTCTGGCCCCCTTTATAATTTTAGGGAAAGTACCATAAACAAAGTTTTCATTTCAGTTTATAGATTCAACTGTTTGTTGCTATTGTCTCAACAAGTTTTGTTTCTTTGTGAGTGTCGTGTTAATTTCATTCATTTTTGAATATTTTTTACTGTTACCCTCTTTTTCGCGTTTTAATTTCCTTTATTTGAAAGTTGTTTTCCGTTAAATTGGCATTAGTTAATTTAAAGTCACATTAATTTGAAACAACTTTACTAATTTCATGGAGCTTGAATCTCCTGTAATGAGGTATCCACTATTAATGATACTTTTCCATGAAGAGTCGTCATGTACGTGCCAATAGTGTAAGCTTACTTCCTTATTGGATTGGAATTTCTTATATAAACAGGCCATTCAAGAACATCCCTTGTATTATTTTGCATGCAAATACACAAACATGGTTGTTTTGATTCTTAACTTTTACACCCTGAATTAATTTTTAAAAAAGTCTTTTTTTAAGCTACATTATAATTTAATGCCAACTCTCCCAGATTATCCAGAAATCTCCCAAATACAGCACAAATCCCCTGGTTTTCTGCACACAGGTCGTGTCAATTCCCATTCTTCCAAATAAAATTGTCTTTTGAGTCTAGTGTGGAATTTAGCCTAAATTTTTCCAAAATTCAATTTTTTTTGGAGATTTTGAAGTTCATATTACAGTTTTGAGTTGCATTTTTCCATGTGCATTGTATATTTATTTCATCATTGACATATATAGATTATTAGTACTTCATTTAAGACTATGTATAATGTTTTGACCCACACCAACATTCTGATTTTGAGTCATGTGCACCAGGGGTGAGGTGGGTTGATATTGGAGGGGAGGGGACAGGGGGTACTGCAAAGCGGCCAGTCTTCGCAATACCGACAGTCCCTGGAATTTAGGTCTCTAACAGTTGGCATTTCTGATACTAATGTATAGTTTATTATAAATCTCTTTCTCTAGTATTTAGAAGAAGCCCACAAGAACTACAAAGAATTGAAAAGTAGTTTACTAGAATCTGGCACTATTCCTCCTTTACGATCATTCAGTGCTATCTCAGATGATCTTGTTACAGATGTTGCAAGGTACATTGTATGATCCAGTTGTTAATTTTTAACTAACAAGAAATACTTATGGAAAGGGGCCAGTAAAAATTTGAGGAAGAAATTTGCCATTTGTGTCTTTTGGTCGTCAGTTAATTGCAGCTATGTTTCGACCCATTTATCCAGATAAGCAATTTTCTTTTAACTTTTAGAGGGGATATCAAAAAAATTTTTTAGTTTTGTGAAGTCCGTTGTCTCCTCCACCCTCATTCATGAATTTATGCCCTTTGATATTTTTTAACTATGCATGTTTTACCTTTTTGATGTAGTGAATTACAGAAGTTTGATGATTGGANGACAGTCCCTGGAATTTAGGTCTCTAACAGTTGGCATTTCTGATACTAATGTATAGTTTATTATAAATCTCTTTCTCTAGTATTTAGAAGAAGCCCACAAGAACTACAAAGAATTGAAAAGTAGTTTACTAGAATCTGGCACTATTCCTCCTTTACGATCATTCAGTGCTATCTCAGATGATCTTGTTACAGATGTTGCAAGGTACATTGTATGATCCAGTTGTTAATTTTTAACTAACAAGAAATACTTATGGAAAGGGGCCAGTAAAAATTTGAGGAAGAAATTTGCCATTTGTGTCTTTTGGTCGTCAGTTAATTGCAGCTATGTTTCGACCCATTTATCCAGATAAGCAATTTTCTTTTAACTTTTAGAGGGGATATCAAAAAAATTTTTTAGTTTTGTGAAGTCCGTTGTCTCCTCCACCCTCATTCATGAATTTATGCCCTTTGATATTTTTTAACTATGCATGTTTTACCTTTTTGATGTAGTGAATTACAGAAGTTTGATGATTGGAAAAGGACAAGGTGTCAAAAGGTATGAGGACTTCTGTTTTCAGAACCACAAACAATAAGCAATTAGTAGGATGTGAAGAATTGTGCAGATCAAGGAGGATGTCATCCACCGAGGCTGATCAAAGGCTGAGGTAAATAACATCCTTCGAAATTTGCATAAATCTTCACATCATACAAAAGCTGAATTCAATAATTGTTTTTCATTCAAAAGTTATTAATTAGTAACAAGCTTACAATGTACCTCCTTGTAGACTTTTAATTCTTCTAAACTTTGGCCAACAATCATGGTTTGAGGATGTAAACAGATGTTTTTTCTATTGAGCAATTTGTTTTGCATACTGCATTTCTTCCATTCAGTATTAGTTAGAAATTCAGCTATTTCGTCTTCAAAAAGCTATGAATGCCATTTTGATCTCTGGGCTATTGCCCATGAAGCCTCGTTTCCATTCAAATATACCATCGCTGAACCTGGTTTCTATTCAAATAATATTTCCTGTATACCATTGAATCGATGGTATATTGCTCACATCTTCCAAATATGGTAAGCGCCTGTTGGTTATGAAGAATTTGTCAGGGTAATAGAGCCAATCTTGCAGAAACAGCAAAATCTTTTGAATGAATAATGATGTCCATTGTGTCCATTTAAATCTATACTCCAAAGTATATTTACCTGCAAACCCTCTGATAAAAGGCCAGGAAAACCCCCTGTGTGCGATTGCCTGGGCAAGTAAATTTTGATGTTGGGCAAGTGAAAATAGAACTTTGTGGCCCAGTGATCAGATGAAATTAGCCTTGGTGGTCCTGTGAGTTTGTCTGAAAGTGTCAACTTCGTAAATGATAATTTGAGTAGTAGTTGCTCTGTAACTGGCACAGCATTTTACATTGTAGTATTAGTAATCTTATACACTTTTTTACAATCTATAACTTATTACAGACACTGTCAGTACCTTAGAACTTTAGATGATAAGGCATTGTGTTCCCTCACTTTGAGCAAATAATAATTTAGTGGGGACAAGTGAAAACTGAAATATTTTATTGGTTCCCTGGGAAAGTGGATTTCAAATGTTTTTTCCTGCCCTGGATAGGCTAGCAAGGGGAACATAGTCACACTCCAAGTTACTTGATATATAAACCAGGTCACCCTGTGATGGACAATTTGCACCCCTTTCAAGGGGGAAGTTGTTAAACTACTAGTCACTTTGATTCGATAGTATAACCTGGGAACCCTGTGATGGATTGTTAAGGGCACAAATACTTTCATTGCTTCAAAAGCTGGGATAAGCCCTGGATGTGTGTCTTTATCTTTCACTTGCACGTTATTAGTAATTAAATATAAACTGATTGTTGTCATACCCATTGTCTGGTATCCACCTTTTTACAGCATGTGTTGGAGCGAACAACGGGAACCTCAGTGTCACAAGCAAACTCTGGCAAAGCTCCATCACTAGATGGCCAAACAACATCAGAAAAGGAAACAAGAACCTCCACGGAGCCACTCTCTGCTGCCAAAAAGGTATGCTTTTGTTGTGAATTATTTTTGAGTGCTGTTATAATTAAGCCTTAACCAAAGAAATTTATCCAGCTAAATAGACCTGCACATGAGAATATGGTTTATTGACTTCAATATACCTGCTTTGTTCTTTTCTTGACAGTTATGAGTCAGAAAAAAGTAACTTATTGGTTGTTGTTGATTTTTTAAAGGGTAATACGTCAAAAAGCTCTAGAGTAAATGAAATAAAGAAAAAGTCATTCTCCACAGTTTCGAAGGTGTGTATTACTAAGCTTAACTTATTCAGCTGTTAACCACAATTTAATAAGAACATAATTACTGACAGTTCACTCAGGTTTCAACAACAGCATTCTTAAGATGGCGTCAGTAAGCTTTGCATTCATTGTCGAGGCAAAGTAGAAGGGTGATTTGGAACTCTGGAGATCCTTATCAACTGATAGTATTGTTAGTGGAAACACAAATACCAGGCGCTCATTAGAGGAAAGAAATGAAAATATTCGTTGAAATTCTTTTTTCACTGACGTAAGAAGACGTGATAAACTCTAACCTGTGACATTGGACCTTCCTCATTTGTTTGTCCATTAATATTTTCAATTTAGTAGTTTAAGGAAATATCGACTACTTTTAATAGTTAGACCATTGCCTAAAACTAATTATTAATAGCTAGTTTGTATTATACTTGTTTTTGAAACATGTTTTTGTGTTTTTACAGGTTTCAAAAAGCATGAGACATCTACAGCCAAGTAAAGAAACAACAGAAGAGGAAGGAAACAAACCAAAGAAAAAGCGTCAAAAGAAATAGCAAGTTGTGTACAAGGCTTATTGGACTAGACTGAGGAGTAACACGTCACGCTTAGGCTTAGGACTGGTTAGTCGATAACAGAAATTCCAAATCTACACGTTGTTTTCTTCATCAGGTCATGTCTTGCGTCAATCCCATACAAATGTCTCACATTTCATGGGAATGTAACTTGGAAATTAGTGAACTTGCTCTTTGTGGGCTGCTACTAATAGTACATTTTTTTGGAGACCTTGAAGTAAAGTTCAGTATATTTGCAACAAAGTTTTATTAAATAACTTTGGAGAGTATTCAATTTAGAAAAATAGAACACAGGATAATGCATTGAACCAATGGGGCCATTGTTTGAACAATCCATCTCTTGCCATATTTGAGGTTCGAACTGCAATCAGGCTCTTTTGGCTCTATTTTTTAAAGTGACCCATATAAGAAAACAATGAGAGTGGCAGCGACATTATGGGCTTGCATGATCACAGCTTGCTATGACTAGTTCAACAACCATGCTCCTATGAGAACTTTGTCAAATTTAAAGATCATTCTTTTAAATAATTTCTGGTTTGAGAAGGCAAATAATAAACAAATTCAAAGAATTATGGAAAATTTATTGCACTCTTTGAATATTCATTTTTCTCAATACAGACTGAAAAAATAGCACCTCCACCAAAACATAGAGCTGTCTTAATTCTTGATGTAAATACAGTATTTCAAACTATTCACTCTATTTTTTGATTAAATACTGTTCTAAAATACTTCATTTCTGAAGAGATCTTCTCTTTATTCTAAATATCTCCATTGTATATCTCTATTTTCCACGACTGATCCCAAACGGACAAAAACTTTGTAATATTAGTATTAAGATGATGCAAATAAAGGCAGGCAAAGAATTTTAATTTTTTCCAGCTGAACCAAAATATTTTGATGGCCCAGCATGTAACACAGAAATATAGGCCTCCATCATAGAGAAACTAGCGACATGTACACAAAAAACTGTGATGTCAAGGCCAAAAACGTGTCTATAATGTCCGTTAATTAGAAGATTCAGCTGTAACTGGCCTGGAGTTTTGCAGGGTGTTAGGAGAGTGTTCACTGTACGTAAAATCGATCCACTCAAGGATTATTCCCTATAAGAACCCTTGTTTTACTCCAAAATGGTGGTAATTATACCTGTCTCTTTATATTAATTACCAGTAGCCCCCTTTGCCTTGATTGCACTTGCAGAATTCAAAACAAATTTTACGCTGAAACGAGACATTGAGGGCCAATTACCATAAAGAAATAAACCATAAAATTTGTTGCCATTTTGTAATAAACCGACCCCATAAATATATAGAGGATATTACATGGCCGTGCGGAGATACGAAATTTCTTTTGGAGTGTCGAAAAATATTTCCCGAGTGAGCACAGCGAACAAGTGAAATACTTCTTCAACATGAGAAGAGAATTTTCGTATCTCCAAGCGGCCATGTAACTGGCTTTTTCCCCCATCTACATTTTTCAATCTGCACTATTGGAGAAAAAATTCACAAACTATCTGACATAATTATGACAATATTATTGGCCCTCGGGGGGTGCACTTGGAGACTTTCTCTCTATATAGTCATATGGTGGAGGGTAGTATCGTGACTCCTCATATTCTTGTGACTGAAACTGTCTTTCCTCAGTGTACACTGGAGGTTCACGTGCAAACGGCACCTGTGGGGGTTGTTGGGGAACGTAATATTGTTCTCCATATTGCACCACTGTTCCAGACACGGGTATATATCCTTTGCTTGATGCCTCAACTGATTTTTTTGAATAATATCTGTGGTACCGCATCCAGCAGAAGACCAGGATGAGAGAGAATAGAAAGAGACCTGATAGTAACCTGTCAAAAAAAGACGTTTTCCTTGTACATTAAACACAGAGGCTAGCAGGTTTTAATCTAGTAAGGGCTGCAATCGATCATTATTATTAAAAGAAGCTGAAGAAACCCACAAACACGAGGAGATACAAACTATAAATTACCACACCAACCCACATATTATCCTTATGTGAATTATCCCTACATGAATTTTTGTCCAGCAGGGAGTGGTCATGCAAATAATGACATAAGTTTGCAAGTCTTACCATAAATACCAGTAACCTGTCAGATAATCACAGCAGATATCATCACCACAGCAGTATTCATTGTAATTGCACCTATAGGTCAAATATTGTCAGTTAATTTTATTTAATATTTGGCATGATTCAATTCAGGAAAAAAACCTATATACCCCTAGCTCTTACCGGGGGTGGGGGGGAGGGGGTAGGGGGTTTGCTCAGCCTATGGTCCAACCCCTTAGCCTTTTATCAGCCATTTTTGACAGAAGAGGTATCCATTTCGCTTATCTTCTATTGACAAATGAAACCTAGCTCTTTCACATACTTAGTTTAGGACTTTGCATCACTTTTAACTCAGTGCTGTAAATGTACTATCTTGAAAATATCAATGAATCACAAAACCAGAAAGTTTTCTCGAATTTTTCACGGCCATAAGAATGCGCCTGTTAGCCTTTGTGCTGGAGACACCAAGTGCAAACTAAAGTAATAATGAAGGGCTCCATGCAAAAATGTCCTTTGGCCTCCCTTTTTCGTTTCAGAGGGACCATTTTTGCATGGAGCTCTGGCCAGCAGTTGAATATAGTGGCTGAAGTTTGATACTGCAAAATCAACATTGTATGCAAGTTTGTAGGGTAACATCAAGAAGCACTTAATCTTCAGCCATCCTTTAAGAGATCGCCCTGTGTAAGGTAACCCAGGATGGTATTGGATTCTGGATTCCACACAGTGTATTTTGGATTCCAGGTACTGGATTTGGGATTCCTTGTCAGTGCAACTTGGATTCCGGATTCCAATTGTTAGCAGGACTCTGGATTCGTAGAGCTGAATTCCAGATTCCAGACCCCAGGACTCCCAATTCCACGAGCAAAATTTTCTTAACTCTGGTGACTGATTACCATACAAGGGGCAAAAGAGAGCTTGGCTACCTGACAATATCTACATTAAAAATTATAGGTGGTTTTTCACAGAGACAGAATACGAGGGCTCTTGGTTCATATTTATAGGACATTTCTTGGAAATCCGAATGCGATTCAATATTCAAACAGACAACATCAGCTTCCCATCCTTAGCTGGTCAGAAAAAAAAATAATCTAGAACACTACAACAAAACAATATCTGATTGGCCTATTTTTGGAACACTGAGTACCATTTTTGAATGGAAAAACCTCCTAAAGAGGAAGCTAGTCCAACTTGTATATACCCAGCTAAAGCCCATAGTAATTACCCAAGTACCCCATGACAAACAAACTCTAACTTACCAGTCTCTTCGACAGTGATAACCCCCTGCAACCTAAATGAAGATGACAAAGAGTTATAAGTGTAGTCAGCCTGTTAATATTTAAAAGGTTAACATATAGTTTGACTCAAGACCAGGTTTTGATATTCATCCTGTAAATTTTTCACTTGTTTTTCAGTATAAGGATGGCAGTTAAGGTTTTGTCATGAATTTATCCTTTTACCAAACTCTTGAGGTAGCTTATAATGCTATTGAAGGGTACTCACGTCTTAGTTTTTGGAGTATGGCAGCAGCCATTTTTTTTATTTCAGACTGCAGTTTGGGGTAAAGGAGTTTAACTTTAGTCACGGTATAAATATTTTAAGGGCATTTTCACGGGTTTAATTACTGTTTGTGCTTATGGTTTGTTGGTTATGATTCCATTTGCAATGACTTGTCATGAATGATGCGGCTGCCTTTCAAATGTAATTAGAACTTGACGCATAAAATTATAATAAAACCCATTGAAATCTGCTCTGAACACAGAAGTAAATGCATTAGTGAAAGCGGGCGTTCTATTTGGTTTTCATTATTTAAACTTATAGTATAACCATTTAACCATTATTAGTATTTTTTAAACACCTTGGAATTCTCTGCAAAACTTCCACCCCATTACTTCGCTTGCTAAAGGAATAATTTTTCCCGGATAGCAAACCTTTATAACAACAAAGCTTAAGGCTATCTCTGTTTGTCTAGCTTAACACGAATTTCAACCCTGAAATGTCGCTTTTCAGTGTATTCGGTGAAAAATAATGTTTCTGAAAAAAATATACGATAACAACAATATTTCCAATCACTTGAATGTTACAAAAGCATTATGCTTCTGTACAAAGTAAGTCGTAAAATGAACAGGAATGAAGTTTATTTTGTGATACTTATCAATTTGGGGTGTCAAAAATTCAGCTCTGTAGAAAGAATAAAACTAACCGAATTTCGATATCGCCCAAGTTTCTTCAAATAAACGTTTCCGAATTGGCGTCAAATTTTTGCCGTGAAAATAAACAAGTAGAAAACGGCGAGCATAGCCTCTGAACGCCAACACGTCACAAAACAATTGCACAAAAAATTCCCTGTGCATTCACAGGAAACCGTGGTCAAGAAGCCGTACTTTAAACGTTACTTACCCAAAATTTTGACATGGAAAAAAGGACAGTCCAAATGATCGAACGAAAGGAAGAAGAAATCCAAATATCGCCCGCCATGTAATATGTCCTACATCGTCAAAAACGACCGACGCTTAAAACTTACTCAAGTGTAAATATCTTGATAGCAAAATAGATGCGCATATTTTAAATCATGATATTCAAATGAGACGTTTTTATTTTATTTTTATTTTGTTTTAAGCATTAAAATTGCCACATAACGTACTTTGAATTCTTAGACGAATTTTGTACGTTCTGTCGCTATATGTTGTCCTTCTGGAAGTTTTTCTATAAAACATCAAAAACAAAACAAAAAATAGTAACGAATCAAAACAGAAACCCGATTTTCAATATAATTTTTCGAGTAGTTTGTGGGATTTTGACAGGTTCGGCCAGGGTTTCGGTATATAACAGGGGATTCTGTAATTGGAATACGTTATCTTTGATCTGAGAACAAAATGAATGACTTCAAGTATCCGGTATATGCTATGTTTTTTATTTTGTCCGATACTCAGCGAGGTAAAAAAGATTAACCGAATTTTATTTTAATCAATCAAATATTGGCTAAGTATTGCGTTATGCGTGCGCATTGGCCGAAAGACGTCACGTGACGCACACAGACAGGTATTTGTTCAGATTCTTTCACAATTTAGCGGTAGAAAAACTGGGTATGATGTGAAGAACAGGCCATTTGCACTAAGAGGTCAGGTGACATCGTTTTTTATGAAAAAAATTTTTTATGAAAGTTATAAGATTTTGCCTTCTAAAAACGATTAGAGGGTAATATCTTAAACAAAATAATAGTTATTTGGTTTCTCAAACCCGCACTATTTTCTTAAATGAGAAAGTCGTAGCTGTTCAAGTGACCAAAATGTGATTTTTAAAATTATGAATTACCCCTTTCTGAACACAAATTTTGCACTTAAACTTCAAGGAAAATGTTGAAAAGATGATGTGGTAACGTTTACAGCATATCTGAGCGTAACTGTCAAACGTTTAACAAGATATAAGCAAAAAGTAGTTTTGGCCGCCATGTTGGAGTGCAAGAGTATGCCCTCCAACATGGCGGCCAATACAAATCATACTACTTTATTGAAAAGTCGAGGTGCCATAAAATATCTCCCTTAAATGTGTTTCCTCTCAAATTTCGGGTGTAAAATAATTTTTACGTGCTCTGTCAATTTTTGGCATCAGCAAGATTCCAACTCATTGTTTAAAGGAAGCATTGGTCGCGTGACCTCTTAGTACAAGTGGCCTAACTATCATGAAGATCATGATCAATGGGGAGTGTTACTCGCCGAGGAAACCACTTTGCGCCAACAATGTTTCCCAGCAATGTAGCCGCTGAAAACGTATTTTTTTGGTGGGTAGTGGGGCAATAAATGAGGTCATCAGCTCCTGATCGTGATGAGGAAAATAAAATTAATGAGACAAAAGTTTATTAATAGTGATATTTTTGAAATGGTTCAGGCTCATTTATTTTTTATTTATATATATTTATATATATTTATTATTTTGTGGAAAATAAAATTTCATGTCATGTACACAGCTCACTACTAGTAGGGGACTTTCGAATGTGGCCATCAGGCCGGAGCCATATCCTGTCGACAGGCAGCTTGGGGAAGGAACAAACTCTCTATGTGAGCATTCGTATTAATATGTTTGCCTTCATATAAAAAGAAAGGTACTTTTATAGCAAGAGACCGAAGTTCTGCGAAATTATAGATATGACAACTGCATAAAAATAAGACATTGTAATGTACATGAGGTTAAATCTAGGCTGAACGTCGAACTTTTTATGGGACGAACCAAACTTAGTGAGTGGGACTATGTGCCTAGGAAACCCAGAAAAGGCAGGCGCACAAGAATGACGCGCGAGATAAGTGATGCGCGGAACAGAGGACACGTCCACGCTCTTTCCCCTTCCTCGAGGTCAATGCCGCCGATCTTTTTTGCGCCCTAAACTTCTTCACGCAAGCTAGCAGAAAAGTGAGGCGACTGAACAGTGATCATAATAAAGCAACGCCATCAGGAAGTCTGAAAACGTTCGTTCTAGACGAGCTATGAATTGCAACTTAACTCATTAAACTTAAAGAGGGTGTTTTACCGCGTGTAGAAGGCCTAATTGTGTTGCTTTGGGCGTTACTTGTTTTCAAAGCAGGAAGAATTTAGTAGCGACAATCTTGTTGTTGTGTTCGTCTTAGCCAGAAGTAAGTGATCATCTCCCAAGAAGAGCTTTCTGCTCTAAATCGGAGTCTTTTTACAAGGCGCTGAACTATACACACATTCCAGTTTTGGTTGAACTGTACACAGGTCAAGTAGAAGTCTTTGCAGGCTCGACAACTGCCTTGATAAACAGAGCATCGTCCTTAATAAACTCGCCAGTCTCTAGCGCCTCTTGAGGGACAAAACAGGGGTTTCCAATCCCGAGATTTTCCTTCATGGTTGGCCGATTGAAAACCACCTTGATATTTGGTAATGAGCGGTTAGGACTAAGTTGGTGTGTTCTATGGTTCTTATGTTCACCTTGATCGATAAGATAAAACGTTATCTTCTGTTTGAAAGGCCAGTCCAGTAAAGCATCATAGTCACCTTTCATTATAATTATATACAGAGACAGATGGGTGGATTTCCCGCGATCTCTCCCATGAAGGTACGCTTTCAGCCGCATTTTGTAACCATACTGTGAAGTGTAAAAAGGCGGACTGAAAATCGCCAGGTCCTCTGGCGAGGCAAGAGCCTGCTCATACTGTTGTTTGTAGTTACTAATTCTCCAGATGAATACTCCATTGGTGCAAGTACTACGACTCTCATTGTCGCGGATTTTCTGCATTGCCAGACCAAGATGGGTGTGTACCGCGGTTTTCGTGTGGTCGTCAAGCGTATCTCGTTTCCCCTGAAATGAGTTGGAAAGGAAATACAACAACTTTAAAAAGGTCAAAGAAATAGTAACTGCCACGCGCAAAAACTGTATTTGACGTGAGAAGTATGCAAATACAACACAGTGGACCCTATGGGCCATATGCATGTTATATTAGTATTTTTTTTTTTTTACCTATTGACACTGATTTGCAGCTGGTTCAGTATACAAAGCATTTACCATGCTCAAAGCTGTGAAACCAAACAAGTGTATTTTTAACCAGCGAAAAGAAAATAACAGCTGTCAGGAATAACTCTTCCAGCACTTGATGTTGCAGTGTACGTTTGCGTTTTATCTCGACATCACATTAGTCATGAGTTGCCTAGGGGAATTCACACTGGCCCCTTTTGTGGTTGGAGAGAGAGGGGTCACCAATTTTGCCAGGTTTACTGTCATTTACTTAGAGTAATAAGCAGAGGAAAGATTCCATGCAAAATGGAGATGTTTCGTCGTATTTCCTTCTTTAAAGGATGCATTCATAAGTATTTAAGAAAATAGATGCCTCTCTACCTTAAAGGTGCAACCGATATCTTGATAAGAACAGGGAAGGATTGCCAAAGGACACTCGGTTAGATGAAATGAAAGCTGAAAGAAAGAAAACAATGTCTTTATGTCTAAAGAAGCGGCTAGAAGATCCATTACTGTTGTATAACATTTGTTGGTCCTATAATGAAAAGACCGATTAGAACCCATGATAGATTACATCCGTCCAACTTTTTTTTTGTTGGACGAAAGTTCCGATTTCCATCAAACATTTGGCCAACATTTCACAGTATTAGAGACACGTTTTGCCGCGCGTCCATTATTTTTGTGTAGCATGTGCTGGCAGGATCGTTTAGCTGCTTAACGGTTTTGCAGGGCCAACNCTGGTTCAGTATACAAAGCATTTACCATGCTCAAAGCTGTGAAACCAAACAAGTGTATTTTTAACCAGCGAAAAGAAAATAACAGCTGTCAGGAATAACTCTTCCAGCACTTGATGTTGCAGTGTACGTTTGCGTTTTATCTCGACATCACATTAGTCATGAGTTGCCTAGGGGAATTCACACTGGCCCCTTTTGTGGTTGGAGAGAGAGGGGTCACCAATTTTGCCAGGTTTACTGTCATTTACTTAGAGTAATAAGCAGAGGAAAGATTCCATGCAAAATGGAGATGTTTCGTCGTATTTCCTTCTTTAAAGGATGCATTCATAAGTATTTAAGAAAATAGATGCCTCTCTACCTTAAAGGTGCAACCGATATCTTGATAAGAACAGGGAAGGATTGCCAAAGGACACTCGGTTAGATGAAATGAAAGCTGAAAGAAAGAAAACAATGTCTTTATGTCTAAAGAAGCGGCTAGAAGATCCATTACTGTTGTATAACATTTGTTGGTCCTATAATGAAAAGACCGATTAGAACCCATGATAGATTACATCCGTCCAACTTTTTTTTTGTTGGACGAAAGTTCCGATTTCCATCAAACATTTGGCCAACATTTCACAGTATTAGAGACACGTTTTGCCGCGCGTCCATTATTTTTGTGTAGCATGTGCTGGCAGGATCGTTTAGCTGCTTAACGGTTTTGCAGGGCCAACGTATACCCTTCTGATGTGCCATGTGCCGGCCGGCTTGTGCCCAGTCTCGTCAGTCTCCATAGACTGTACGATGATAGAGTTCGATCAGAAAGCCAGCCTAATACTGCGCCACTGGTCGTCTGTGCCATCCCCGCTACGAACACATTAACATCTATGTAACGTAAATTTCTTTGTACATATTCAAATGCAGATCCCGCCTTTCCTTTTTCTACTGCCTTCGTAATCATGCACACCTGCACATTAGGCAATCTATTCTCACTATAACTCGCCTCTTCTCGAGGAATATCCTTGGCACCGCACTTGTTTACACATTCTAAAGGAATTCTCTTACATACTTTCATGTGAAGCTGCAATGGAAACAACAGAAAGGATTTTTTATGAACTGTAGTAATAACCAAAGGTTAGGGACTGCGGGCGCGTTTCACGCTCTTTCTCCAATCCTGGTCCTTTGCGTAAGTTTCAAGTGAGAAAAGGTCCAAACGCGCGTAATCCGATTGCGTTTAATGCATTTCATTCTTTAATGTCGAGCTTACATCGTATATTCTTAGAGGAAGTCCAAACGAATGCATGCTACATACCTGCCGCAAGCATAGGGCAACCTGGAAATTACAATTGCGGGCTCCTTCTGTCGCCCGCAAGAAAGTATTTAGTTCTTACTGGCCTTCTTACACACTAATCAGAAAGTAACATTTTGGCAAGCATGCATCTATTCTTCTGCCCGAATATCAACGAGTTTTGTAAGAGCTTTATAAGTGACACACTAGCCACTTAACGTAAGGGACAAAAGTAAGGTTTTTTTGCACGAGAGAGCCCTGTCGAAGAGCGCCTAAATCCACTTTGTGGGTCCTTTGTTGTGGTCACTTTGTTCCTTATTAAATTAAGTTAGGTACGAGACAGTTTTTTTTTTCTTACGCGTCGCGCTGCAATACCACAGTTTCCCGTTTGTCCTTCGAATGCCATAACCTATCACCTCGTTCAACGACCATCTTTCAGAGAAATTGCTTGAGATATTTTTTCACTTAAACGCAGTTTTGGAATCCCTCGCCGACAATCTACGTTAGAAAAACTGTGCGATAAAGGAAAAACTGTCAAAGACCATGACCTCTTATCATACGGGCTTTGCATTACGCGGACGAAAATGCCCGTCAAAAAGCTGATGTTTACCTGACACAAGAGTGGCCGGGTGCTCACAGAACGTTCGCCATGAAGGGAATCAATTGTATTATAAAGAGGATAATAGCCTGCGAGCGAGCGGCAAAGCTCGTTGCTCTTAAGTCTTCTTTCGCGCGCCGCTCACACGTGTTTTCTCGCGATATCCCCTAAATGGACAACTGGCTTGCAGGCTAAGAGAATAATTATTGAATTAACCACTTCCAAACGCGCTTCAAGGCTGTAATGCATGAGAGAATCAATCCTTCCCCAAAAAACTAAAATTCAAGGTTCTGAGTTACCTAGTCCCTACGCCTCAATATTCTACGCGACCGCTGGGTGCGTTTCGCGTTTCGGGCTGTTCGTCTCGGATACGTCGCCGAAATACATTGACCGAGAAGGCCTGGGAAGTCACCGTAAAGGGTTCTGAGCTGTTTAGACGTTACCTTACTGTCCTTGTATGTGTACATCTCAGCGCAAAAATGACACGACACCACCCTCCAGCGGCACTTTGACACTAAATGGTACTGTAAGGCGCGGCGAGGCATTACTTCATTGCACTCAGGATTTGTACAATGTACATCTTCATATGCACAGTTTTTCATATGCTCCTGCAAAAACAACAACATTGCAACAAATTGTCAAATAAAAATGTTCGCCGTGTAGACTTGCATGAGTTCGCGTAGGAGGCAGAGGAGCCCATAACCCGTAACGAGTAACTTCCATACTAGGCCTCCTTGCTCGCTTTCGCACGCCTGAAAAACGCCAGAAAATAACGCCTATTAAGCAGGCTAAAGTCACGAAGTTTTCATTGACTGGTTTATTTTTAGATACATTAGAGAGCTCTTTTTCCCTCAGAAAGGAAGCTCCGCTCCTTCTATAAGTACATTCAAATTATAAGATATGAAAAAGTAAAACAAAGCGTCATTAAAAGGTCACAAATTCCCATTATAGGTCTGGAGGTTTTTACTAACTGGTTTGTGGGGAATAAAAGATGTTCTAAATTCGCGCATAATCGTTCTAAAAATAAACTGGCCGGTGAAAACGCTGTGACGCGAGTATGTAGAAGTCTCTCTTGCCGGGTTATGGGCTCCTGGTTTGTCATATTTAATAAATAACCAGCGAATAGGCTATTTCCAAGTCGCTCCAAGCCTCTGTTTCAAGGCGAGGCTAAATGGGAAGCTATTGATATGAAAACGAATTTCTAGAGTTCTAATGCAATAAAACTCTTTTTCACACAAAAANTGACACGACACCACCCTCCAGCGGCACTTTGACACTAAATGGTACTGTAAGGCGCGGCGAGGCATTACTTCATTGCACTCAGGATTTGTACAATGTACATCTTCATATGCACAGTTTTTCATATGCTCCTGCAAAAACAACAAAATTGAAACAAATTGTTAAATAAAAATGTTCGCCTTGTAGTCTTGCATGAGTTCGCGTAGGAGACATTGGAGCCCATAACCCGAAGCGAGTAACTTCCATACTAGGTTTCCTTGCTCGCTTTCGCACGCCTGAAAAACGCCAGAAAATAACGCCTATTAAGCAGGCTAATGTCACGAAGTTTTCATTGACTGGTTTATTTTTAGATACATTAGAGAGCTCTTTTTCCCTCGGAAAGGAAGCTCCGCTCCTTCTATAAGTACATTCAAATTATAAGATATGAAAAAGTAAAACAAAGCGTTATTAAAAGGTCACAAATACTATTTATAGGACTGGAGGTTTTTACTAACTGGTTTGTGGGGAATAAAAGATGTTCTAGATTCGCGCATAATCGTTCTAAAAATAAACTGTCCAGTGAAAACGCTGTGACGCGAGTATGTAGAAGTCTCTCTTGCCGGGTTATGGACTCCTGGTTTGTCATATTTAATAAATAACCAGCGAATAGGCTATTTCCAAGTCGCCCCAAGCCTCTGTTTCAAGGCGAGGCTAAATGGGAAGCTATTGATATGAAAACGATTTTTTAGAGTTCTAATGCAATAAAACTCTTTTTCACACAAAAAAGGTTTTGTATTTAGCCTGCTCACTAAGGTCTTCGCCTAGCTGGGAGTGGCCTTGTCATGCAAATCTTTCTCTCTAGTTGATCGTGTATCTAGACAGACACGAGTTTTAAACGATAAATAAATCCTACAAGTGAACACTTTAGTCTGTTCAGCTGGGAACTGGAAAGCACATGATATTTTCTATTGACTGATCGTCGTTAGCTTCGTTTTCATCAGTTCGTTACCTAATTATGAATTTTTGGCATTAAGAACGTTTATCGAGGATGAGGGTTGCCAAACAAGTAGAAATGAAGTTTAGGCTTTCAAAAGAACCCAAAACAATGAATGATCGGAAAGCTATGGACGTTTACTCTGGTAATCAAACTTAAAACTCATGGCCTCTTTTCTTTTGAGTTTCACTGAATTAAAAGAAGAATTAACGACTGCAAACTAAAATAGTCTGAAATAACATAAAAGACAGATAAGAGAATGACTTGACCAGTAGAGGAATGCGTAATAAACAATGTTTTTTGCTGGGTTTACCATTTAAGTAATGCTTACCAGTGTAAGATCTAGATGCAAACGAAGCATAGTAAAGACTCATCAAATTTCACTAAGAGATCAGTTCAGTATTGCATAGAGTTCGCAAGAAAAGCAGAGGAATATTGATATGATTTTGGAACGATTACAACAGAGATACAAAAAAGTAGAGGAGTAAAAGAACTGTCAACTTCCTTGGACTAACTCCAACCTAAAAAACGACACAGACTCACGCAAAGATTGACGCAATTGGGGATGATTCCAACCAAGAATACGAAAAATAAATGGTCAGATCAGATGAATCGCCCGAAAATGGATGACAACCATGCAAAAGAACTCTTCATCAGGCCAAACATAATTTGTTGTATCGAATTGCTTGTTTCTATGGCTAGACACGTGCTATGAGAATATCCTCAAGTGAAGAGAGCAGATCTCAACTTAAGTTGTAACATTTTTACGATGTCCACCTTTTTAATGAAATTTTTTTTCCTGCTGATCAACGCTGTTTCTAATGGTTGGCTCATTTAATATTTAACACATACCAAAGGAAAAGTCTACCTAAAGAAAAAATTTTTTGTCCGTTGGGTATTTTATAAATTTTAGGTAATAGAGCGCCTTGTACGTTTCTCTTTGACTTGGTTGTAAGCTTTTGTTTTGGTGTGCACGAGTTCTACTCGCGTCTACCGTTTTCGTCTGCTTACTTACAAAAAAAAAAAAGTGAACAATGAAACAACTCGAACAGTACAGGAATTAGACGGCGTTTACCTCGAATCTCTCTCAAGAATCCGAAGTTTTGTTTGGCAGGGAGTCACGATCTCTTATCTAAGTACATTGCTTCTGTTTGTGTTTAAGATATTTTTTGGGTATAAGAGAGTTGTTTGCTTTACACAGAAATCGTAGAGTTGAACTGACAATTAAACAAAGCAAATCTATTTTTAAAGGAAACCGTGTCAAGGGCAAACGAGATTTTGCCAACTAATGTAAATAAGACACTTCCTCTGGATAAAATAAGTTTACTTTTTCAGCTTCTTGGTCAGACTGAGAAACACAAAAGAAGAAAATTCATACATGTTCACGCCCTCGAAGTGTAATCTTTGGTCGATATTTAAACAGCCAGTTTATTGCAAGGCATTAAAAATTGATCTTTTTCACGAATGAAATTGATCTTGTGTTCTCTACAGCATGCTAGCTTCGATTATATTTTTGAGAACAGATCATAAGCTTTCATTGATGTTTGTTCTATAACAAAAGATTAATCACATCGGTGTGTTCATTTCTTTGAAACATTATTCAAACACGCTATAATTGCAACAAAGAATAACAAAGGAAATCTGAAACTGAAAGAGCTTAAGTCATTAGTCACGTGATTTCGAACGCCAAGCATCTGCTTTACCTGTAAACATAGCATTATAAAAAACGCAGATCTCGTCTGATCTGATCTCTTTTCAAGTGCGACTGAAAATAACACGGGTAAGTTTAAAGCGTATTGACAGTACTTTGCAAGAATATAATTACTTCACGCTTCATGCAAATAGGAGACTTAATTTCGCACTTACAGAGGATAAAGTCAGGACGTGTGTAGTCCGCTTACCTCAACATATATCAAATCCCCCGTCCAATCACACTTTCTTTTCCAGTTCACACATTTAACGCCAAGAGACAGTACAGCACGTTTGGCTGCCTTGTCGACAAAAATCTGTAGAAATAATGAAAGAAAGAGTAAATAAATGGGAAAAAAAATATTCTCTTTGATTGCAAGTAAACAACACATCAAGTTACGAACTAAACCAAAATAAATCAATATGGTTTCTTTGGCTCTCAATAAAAAAAAACTATCGAAGTGGTTTTAATTTCATCAAAATTATACCCCGTTTATAGCACTGCGAAGAGGTTATCGAGGGTAGAATCGTCGACGCTTCCTTTGGGTAAAGAGTGGATCTCGCTTCTTCGATTTTAAAACTTTTCGTTTTATAGTTATTTGTCCAGATCCACGTATAGTAAGCCAAAGCAGTAGAATCCCGCGAAATAGGTTAGATATGTATCAGGCTCTAAGCCCGTAAAAACCATACAGAGCTATTTATCAAAGAACTGAGAACAAATTCACAGAGGCATCGAAATTGCCTGCTATATTTTTCTTCTTGCTAAGTCGTTACTCACAAATCTTTCTAGATTTCTAATATACTGCTGACATAAATTCTTCCGCCCTCAGTTCAGGTCAGAATTTTTCAGAAATATGAATTGAATATTAAGCTTGCGGTTGCTAAATGATGTGTCTATACAAAGCTTATCAGAATATTCAGATTAAACTATTCCCGCTAGCGGGCATTTGGTCCAAAATTGACCTGCTCAAAAATCGCGAAAATCAGATAACAGTTAACTTTATTTTTTTATAGACTGTATAAAAAAACCGGTGAATCTTCATAATTCAAAACTTAAACTGTGATCGATTGGAAAGTAACACAATTTAAGCGCTTTGCAGACGTTACCATTGAAGTTTGAGTATGATGGAGAGACAAAAAAATCGCAGAAACAAAAGTTAAACAAATTATACAACAAAACTCAGCCGGTTTCAACTTTTGCTAAGGTTATACATTACCTTAGAGGATGATATAGGTTTTCTGTCCAACGGGCATAAACAAGGACTTCCCTGCCTTGATTTTACGTAAAATAAAAACATGGAAAACATATGTCAGTGAAAGTGAATTTAATATCTTAAAACGGCGCATATCAGAGATTAATCCAATTTTCACCATTCTAACAGTAAGATATAAAAACAACGCCAATTGAGAATTTCCATAAAATCATCCTCGATTCCATTTTCAAGCATAATTACGCGCTTCCACGTTCGTGCTTTTATTTACTACACACAATTTGGCGGTTTTGAATTCAAAACATTAACATTTTTGGAACCATGCAAACATGAACAAGGATATATCGTATAAAAAGATATTCTCTACCTTCGTTTTAGCTCTTGAAGACAAGACTGGCAAAATCTGTGACCACAGTCTTCGATTTGAACAGGGTCGCGAAACGCTAGTTGACAAATTGGACATTCGTATTCTTCTGGTAACGGCACAAGAAATTCAGCTTCAAATCCGCCAGTTTCTCTATCGACGCGATCGGCCATAAAGTCAAATCCCCTCTTACAGCCGTACAAATAGTAATATTACCGAAACAAAGCGCTGTTTTTCTTCATCCGCGCGCTTGAGGTAAAATTAAAATGACAGAGACTTTACTTGCTATTACTGATAAGAGCTTCAGTGAAGTTAAGCTGAGGCCCATAAATAATAATGAGCTATATGACACAGACAATTATTGTCACTTATTTTCTGACGACGCATCTGCCTTCACATGAATTTATTTTCGCCGAGTACTGGCGGCATTTCAATGGCTTGCTAACAAAACATGACATTTCAAGTTTATTATCAATATATTTGGCTTGAGCTTGACAAAATATCGAACTACAAATGAAAATATATTTTGTTGCTAGGTACTAAAAAAGAAAAACAAAAGGGAAATTCTGTGTCATTGTTTTTTTCCTCTCCAAGTATGACTTTAAATGACTTGAAAGTTACAATTTCGTATTTTGGCAAGAAGAATTCTATCTTTTTCTCAGCACTTAGAGATCAAAAAAAAAAAAAATAAGTAAACAAATGGGTTCTACTTTTTGCAATTATTTTCTCCCGGTAAAAGCAAGATTAATTATGCTGGAAATACCCAGAACTAGAACAAAAAAGGGAAATTTAAAAAGTCAGTTCTATGACGTATTGTAATCGTAATAGTTACTGAAATAGATGGCTATTAAACACGATCACTACAAAAAATTATCTGGCCACAAAAAAATTAACATTATTCCAATCACTGATTGGCTTAAAACTCAACAAAAAAACCCCAGCATATTCATAAGTTACTATCGTTTTCTTGAGAAAATAGGTGAAATAACACGAGGCCCTGGTGAGAGAATGAAATTTGACTAGGGACAAGGAGGAAGAGCTGAGCTGAGCTGATGTTAGACGGGACGCAACGACGATTTTCACGGCAACACAGCGTGGCAATGTTGGAACAATGTGGCAACTATTCGAAACAATGTGGCAACAGTGTTGCAACGCTGTGTTGCGCTAAAAATCGTCATTGCGAATCGTCTCCTGTAACATCACCTTTAAACAAGGCTTAAGTGTGTTATGTCTCGCTATTTGTTCAATATTCTATTTTTGGTTACTCTTGGAAAGTATAGTAGGTGTTTGTTTATTTTCAAATATTTTAAAAATAACTTTCTTGCAATAACAATCTGAATCAAGGTAAGAGAATGTCTGCATGAGAGCTGCTAAAATTTGGCCCCATCGTAGGTTAAAACATATTGTTTTTGTCTTGTGAGTAACTAAATTAAATTACTAAACCAACCTACATTTTAGGTCAACTTTCAAAGAAAAGAGCATTTTTTTAAAAGAAAAATAGAAAAGAAGGAATTGAGAAACAGTAACAAATATGTAAACTAGCAGAATGAGAGCACGGTATTTTTCGAACTATCATGTGAAAAAAAATTATTGACATTATAAAGAATGTAAAACTAAAAATGGGAAAATATTACAAGTATCTACAAGCATTCGATTTTCTCATAATTTATTTAGCCCTTATCAGCAGCCATTACAATATTTGACAAGGAACCAGAAATATAACGTGCGGAGCAGTTTGAATCTGGTGTGTTTAGCATTCACAAAAGCAGGTGGAGGTATTATTGAAATTGATACATACATTTATCGATCCATTACTCAATACTGCCATGAAAAAGCGATAAAATATTTAACAGTTGGCAGTTTTTAGGGCAGATGACAACCATTTGGTTTTCATGGAGAATCTCCCGAAGTCCCAAGCTCTCGAGGTAATTTCTTGTCCGCGATGGTTTTTTCCACAATTGGGACAAAGGCTTTTCGCGTGGATTAAGAGTTTTACAAGGGGAACATATGCACCCCATCTGCGTGTGAAACTGAAAAAGAAAACAATTCCGTCACTCATACGTCCATTAAAACGTCTTTGGATCACGACAAAGCCACATAAATCGCTGACTGATATAACAGACCAATGAGAGTTCGCCTAGATGGCAGATCAACCTTTTCTCGCCCTGCTCGCAAAATGATCATCCCATGCAAAGCACACGTGCCCAACACGCGCACACGAAAGCGTGGCAGCGTGGAAAATAAAGTCACGCTAAGTTTCACTTTCGTGCTGAGTGGTGCTGAGAAATGCGCAACTGTTCGCTAAGACAGAGGGGGTGACTGCCGAGTGAAGCACGTGGGAGCTTGATACGCGTTATTAACTTTTTTTCCGTTTTGAGTGGTTACATTTGCGCAAGTTCCCGCTCGAGGGGGTGGCTAAAGCACGGACAGGGGGACTGGCAGCGAGGCGTGCTTTTTAGTGGGTAAAGTTTGTGGAATGGTATCGCTTTACAGGGCGTTGAGGTCGAAAACGATCGCCATTGGAATTTTCATGAGTTTCAATAAGAGGTGTTTCTGAAATGTGCCGAAATTTTCGTCATTTTTGTAAGTCAGCCCTCCGACAACGGCTTGCAGTATTTCTTCACAAGAGCCTATTATTTTAGCCACTGACGAGAGAAATTCATTGCAGGCATACATACCAGTTCTTGAAGAGAAACAACTTCTGTTGCAAGAAGTTGGGAAACACTTTTTCCTTGCTGTTCTGTAATCACACCTGCAAGCAAACGTACAGCTTTTACAGTTAAGTTCAAATTATAAGCCTTTAAAGTGCGATGGGGATATTTCTTTAACGATTTAGCTGAATTTAAAAACATTACCCTTAACAAGAACCGTAAAAAGCGCTTCCAAAATCCTCAGATTTTCCTGACAATTTTGCGGCTGAAACACAATTTGCTCCTCATATACTTCGCCGTCATCAGCAAGTTGCGGTGCGGTAAGAATGATCCCAGCGCCTTTAAGAAACGATGACATGATTGATGGACTAGACTTTAGACATGAGGGTGGGTCAGGAAATATCGCAGAAAAATCAACCAGTTGAATAGCATTCTCGCTTTCAGTCTGAAAGGAAAAAGAGGAAACCAGACATAAGCCGAGAGAAAATTAGGACCCAGAACAGGGCCCCCAACGACAGTTTTTGAAAAATATTTTTTCGGTATATTTTTTTTTAAATTTCTTGCTTGCCTTCCTCTCGTAGGATTTTCGAACCCCCCCCCCCCCCCAGAGGACTTGTCATTACCAAACCAGGTACTAGAAACATACTCTTTGGAAGGATAGTAATGAAGTCTGTCAGAATACCACACCTTAGGGAATTAAGTTGTAAGAAGAGGATAAATTTTTGAGCGATCTATTTACAGTCATAGCAGATCCAGGACATTGATAGGCTAGAAGTAAAGTTAATTCTCTGAGAATTAGAAGGAGTACCCATGGCCACCTCTCCTTGTATTTCAGTGAAGTGTGTTAAAAGCCTTTTTCACAGACAGGCTATTTTCAAAGGATCATTTTCCAAAAAGTGGGTGTCCTGAGGCTTGATAATCTCTGCAAGGAATCCCACATCAGGAAAAGATAGAGGGAGATGAAATCTTTGAAAGTTTTACTTTTTTTAACTCAATTATTAAATGAAACCATTCAATATAGTCTTTCTAAGATTAAATGTAGAGAAAAAAAGTGACTTTAAAAAAATCCCAACTGGCTGGAGGGAAACTAGTTGGCCCCTACTGCGCTTTTCACAACCACACAAAGTCTGAAGTTCAAAAACCAACTGACGTTTGCGTTTTTCCCTGCCGTCAATCATCTTAACGGACCTCTTAGGAAACAGAACGTTGCTTAAACGGGTTCAAAAGGTCAAGGTTTGTGATCTGTGATTGGTGGATTTTGATCCGTTTTGTGTGTTTCTGTGTTTCAAGGTTCATTGCTTGTGATAGTAATTATGATCGACGGCAGAGAAAAATGCAATAGTGAAGGCGACTTTTGAATTTTAGAGACTTTTAGCAGTTAGGGCAGGGATTGAACTCGGGAACTCCAGATAATACCGTATTTCCTCAAATAAGTATCCATGCCCTCCCTCCAATTAGCAACCATGCCCTCTGGCCAAAATATAAAACAAAATAATGCCTCTCTTAAATAAGTACCCCTCTCCATCACTTTTGATAAAAAGTAGTGATACAAGGAAAACTTGTTTCTTAAAATTGCCTCTGTGACATAAATTTTTAAGTTTACATTCAACATTAGTAGTGATACATCTGTGACTTATGCTTATAATGGGACTAGGGTTAGCTTGATTACCAAAAGGAGGAAAACGTAATAATCACTCCCACCCCCCACCTCTACCTCAATAAAGGGGCCTACAAGAAAAACGGCGAAATTTGAAATAAGCGCCCGGCAATTATTCGAGGAAATACCGTACCATTTGTCCAGTTAAGTACAAGGCTTCAAGATACCAAATGGCCTGGGAATCATTAATCTTTATCCTGCTTTATCTCGACAATCAAGTGAGCTGACATTCATGCGTCAAACAAAGATAGAGCAAGCATACCTTATAGACAACGTATATGCAAGTTTTTCCGGAAAGTTTAGACGACTCTTGATCTACTCTCAACATGTTTACTTTAGCAGTGAGTTTCGCGGGGTCGACATACTCAATCTGCGTGGTTCCTAAATCAATCCAGCTGAAGTATTTTCCCTCAGGACGGCCAGCCAAATCTTCCATCGAAAACTCGCTTACTTCGTGGGTGAATGGAAGTTTTAAAGCAACTAGATACTTATCTACCCCTTTCTTTGAGCTGCTGTGTAAATGCGGTCTTAATAAATGTAATAAATCCAAATTATTATCCATTAAAATACCCCCATTCTTGCGTAAAGTTCCAACAAATTCGAAGGTATGTCTGTCCCGTTTAACAAACACAGAGAGCAGGTCGAAATATTCGTAGTTTGCTGCTACAGGAACGGCGAAAAATTCTCCATATGTAGTTTTGATCCCTATAATTTTCGGATCACTAGACTTTCAGCTAGGAAATCCGAACAGATGAAAAATTTTTAGGGGATAAAAATATGCCTATATCTACCGTTAAAATACTAAAATATGTTCAACAATCCAATGTTTAAGTGGTTTTGAACTATATTCTCGTTGGGTGCCCCT